CTTCGTCTGTGTACGGTTGCACGGATCTGAAGTGCCTTCCGTGTTTGGCTTCTGATCCATCGATAAGAAAAGGAAAAAAAAGAAAGAATATGGATCAAACCTCGGGGCAGGAGTTATATTTTTGTTGAAAAAAAAGAAGTACAAAAAGATCCATAACAAAGAAAGAATGAATGAAAGGAACAAAGCAAGAAACAAAGAAAGACAAAAAGGAGTAGAAGAATAAGAAAAAGAAGAAGAAGAAGAAGAAGAAGAAAAAAAACAAAGGAAAAAAAGAAATATTAGCGGGTAACAGCGGCCCTACCATGTCGCAGGGCGCCTATCGGCCTAACCCGTCAAACCCCCTCGAACAACCTTTTTTTTTTTTTTGTGAAAACAAAACGAACCTTTTCGCTGCCTGTTGGCGCCATAGCTCCAGCGGCCATCGCCTTTCAGCGGCCTTCAGGCAAAGGCGCCACCTTGCACTGTGTAGGTACGGTTAGGATGACGACAGGCCAGCGAGGTTAGGATGAGCACAGAGCATCTTGCCTGTGGCGGGTGCGGTAGATGACGACGGAGAATAAGAAGAAGACGAATGAGAAGAAGAGGAGGACGAAGAAGAAGAAGAAGCTGAAGAAGAAGAAGAAGAACAGGAGGAGGAAGAAGAAGAAGAAGCTGAAGAAGAAGAAGCTCTCTCTCTATATATATATATTCAAACCAAAACGAATAAAAAAAAAAACAAATAATCAATCAATCAATCAATCAATCAATCCTTCAATCCAATCAACACAATGATTGATTGATTGAATGATTGATGACTGTGTACGTGTGTGCCTGTGTGTGTGTGTGTGGTCTCCCTCTCTCTCTCTCTCTCTCTCTCTCTCTCTCTCTCTCTCTCTCTCTCAAACAAAAAGTAAACAAAACATAAACAAATAATCAATCAATCAATCATTCAATCCATCAATCCATCAATCCAATCAATACATTGATTGATTGATTGATTGATTGATGACTGTATGTGTGTGTGTGTGTGTGTGTGGTCTCTCTCTCTCTCTCTCTCTCTCTCTCTCTCTCTCTCTCTCTCTCTCTCTCTCTCTCTCTTTTTATTCTAACAAAAATAAAAATAAAAAAANTCTCTCTCTCTCTCTCTCTCTCTCTCTCTCTTTTTATTCTAACAAAAATAAAAATAAAAAAAATCAATCATTCAATCAATCAATCCATCAATCCGTTCAATATATTGATTGATTGATTGATTGATGACTGTGTGTGTGTGTGTGTGTGACTGTGCGTGTGACTCTGTGTGTGTGTGTGGTCTCTCTCTCTCTCTTTTTATTCTAACAAAAAAAAAAGAAAACAATAAAACCGGGAATCAATCATTCAATCAATCAATCCCCATCAATCCGATGAATATATTGATTGATTGATTGATGACTGTGTGTGTGTGTGTGTGTGACTGTGCGTGTAACTCTGTGTGTGTGTGTGTGGTCGCTCTCTCTCTCTCTCTCTCCCTCTATATATATATATATCTGTTTGTGACGATATATATATATATATATATATTCAATAAAAAACAAAATAAAAACAAAACTAATAATCAATGAATCAATCAATCAATCCATCAATCCAATGAATATATTGATTGATTGATTGATTGATTGATAGGGCGCCGGCGCCGTTCACAAGAGATGGCTACATTGGGTTATCCTGTAGTCAACCCATGTTCCCGTTTTGTTTCATTCTCAAATGGATGCTTGCTCGGTTCGATTGTGCTATTTGCTCTGGCTTTGACTACTTGGACTTCAGTCTCATTTTGCAATATGGATTTATATGCTTTGTCCATATTCATGTTCCTTGCATTTGTCAAAAAATCAATCAATCAATCAATCAATCAATGAACTGAGTCAATGAATAGACTGTTTGATTGATTGATTGATTGTTTGATTCAATGATTGATTCATTGATAGATTGATCTGTGTGCGTTTCTGTGCTCTCTCTCTCTCTCTCTCTCTCTCTCTCTCTCTCTTTGCAATCTGGATATCTGTGCTTCGTCCATATTCATGTTCCTCGCAGCAATCAATCAATCAAGCAATGAATCAAGCAATCAAGCGTTCTATGAATGAAGTGATTGCTTGATTGGTTGATAGCTTGATTCAATGATTGATTGATTGATTGATTGATTGACTGATTGATCTGTGTGCGTTTCTGTGCTCTCTCTCTCTCTCTCTCTCTCTCTCTCTCTCTCTCTCTCTCTCTCTTTGTCTCTTTCTCTCTCTCTCCACAAAAAAATAAACAAAAAAAAATTAAAGGAAAAAAAGGAAAAAAGTTCAATCAATCAATCAGTCAATCAATCAATCAATCAATAGACTGTGTCATTGATTGGTTGATTGGTTGCTTGCTTGCTTGCTTGCTTGATTGATTGATTGATTGATTTATTGCTTGATTGATCCGGGCTGCCTAAGGGCGTAGGGGAGGTGAGGCCGAAGGTGGTTCATCGGAGGTGAAGGCCACGTCCGTGGGTAACAATGGAGAGTGTCAGTGAAGAGGACACGTACCTGGTGGAGGTAGAAGTGGGCATTGGTGTTCAAATCATCACTCGCTGATAGTCAAGTTGTCTGGTTGCTTTCATTACTGTAGTTGTAGGTTTACGCTGTAGAGTAGATAGGGCGCCTTGCGCAGTTCACTAGAGAGAGCTATATTGGGTTGTGTTGTTGGTGTTGCCCTGTTCGCCCGACCTTGACTCACAATTCTTCTGTTCCATTCTCATATGGGTGCTTGCTCGGTTCCATTCTGCTATCTGCTGTAGCTTTGACTACTTGGACTTCATTGTGATTTTGCAATATGAATTTCTATGCTTCGTCCATATTTGTCTTCCTTGCATCAATCAATCAATCAATCATTCAATCGATCAATCAATCAATCAATCAATCAATCATCTGAGTCAATTAATGGAGTGTTTGATTGATTGGTTGATTGCTTGATTCTTTGATTGATTGATTGATCTGTGTGCTTGTGTCTGCTCTCTCTCTCTCTCTCTCTCTCTCTCTCTCTCTCTCTCTCTCTCTCTCTCTCTCTCTCTCACACACACACTCACACACGCACACACACACACACACACACACACACACACACACACACACACACACACACTTTTCCGTTGACTCCTTACTTCGTGCTTGTTTGACTCTCGGTGCTGTGCAGACCCTGACATTGACAATGTCACCGACAGGCGGAGACGCTGTCCCCGCTCGATCATCGCCCATTGAGGGATTTCCGAAGGGGACCCCCGATCCTTGCCAAAGCGTCGATCGATCTTCATGTGCAGCGCAGGGGTTGTTGGGTGTTACACCGCACAGCGGTGGTCCGGAGGTCTGGTTGGGGAAACGGCGCCACGGTACTGTTTCGCATGCGACTGACAGCGTCGTTGGGACGGACGTGACACCCATCTCGCCTTTCGCCGGTGTGTTGGGGGCATCTCCGCCGGGTGTGGCCGGGTTCCGTGACGCGGCCATGTTTGGAGGTGTGTATGGTGCTTCGTTGCTGCCATCCCCACTGCTGCCTTGACGGCTGGACTATGAGGCCACGATTCCTTTAGCGCTTGTATAGTCACATGTGGTGGCCCCACCATGTCCTGTTGGAGGCGGTTCTCTTCCAGGAGATCGCAGCGACGCTTTGCGTTCTCCACCCGTTTCATGTCGACGAGTCGTCGACGAGGTGGCGGGTTCGTTTGCAGTGCCGCCTCAGGCTCCCTTTGTCGCTTCAGTTTCCACACCTCCGTTTGACGATGCGGATAGCTCAGCGGCAGTTGGCGGCACACTGTGTTCAGGCGGCAACAGCATCGTGCGAATCTGTGTGTGGGACGCGTGTCGGAGACGGTTGTACGCTCTCCGCGACGCCATGGCCGATCTGGGTGACCAGCGCGGACCGGTCAGCGACGTTATTGATCGGCTGCTGCACTGGTCCTTGCCAACCATCCGAGCGGAGTTTTGAGACAAGGTAGGAGATGTGATTTCTTCTATGTTGCCATTTGGGGTGTGTGGTCGAGATTTCACGTTGCGTTATATGCCAGGCGATTCCGGTGTTGACTACGGTCAGGGGGGTTCGCAGAGTTCAGCGAGCGGAGGCTTGGGTGAGTCTCATGACGGATCGCAGAACTCGTTCCTGTCATTGCGTCGTGCATCGCAGCGCAGTCACAAAGGGCGCGACAGAACCCACAGCGCGGGTCGTTGCACACCGACACCTACCTGGCCGCAGACGTGGTGGGATAGTTGGGACGGTGTTGACCAGTGCGGTCCTGGACCTGCGTACCAATGTTGAGAAGGCGATGGCTAGATGGAGTGGACCGGTGGCGCCGGATGTTGTGTTTCTGAAGCCGGTTAAGCTTCTTCAATTGGTCGCCATGTTTCATCTATATTGCCCGTGGCACAAGGGCTCGTGCCGTGTGTCTGTGGAGTCCGTCTCGTATCCTGCGCTGGTCTGTAAGCTGACGTTCGTATGCGACAAGAAATGCAAATGGACGTGGCACACGGCTCTCGTGACCACGAACGTCTATCAGTCACGACTGATGCAACAACTCTTTCATGCGACGGTCACCGCCGGCCTTACGTTTACGCTACTTGACAACTTTTGTGTTTGTTTAGGGATGTGCTCGGTGCACAAACCCACATTCTACAAGTTTATGCGCACTGAACGGGGGGGGGCGGAGGGGTGGAATGCCAAGGTCGTACGGCAGGGCATAAAATATTGCGAGCTTGCCATTGACATTGTGATGCACCGTGGTGAGCCAGTGACATTGAAGGTTGATGGTCGATATGACTCTGTCAGAGACGCGCAGCATTGCACTGTCACCGCGATGGAGTACGAGACTCGGCTTGTTGTAGGTGTTCACACTCTCCGCCCGAAGATTGAAGGCAAGGCATCGAATGCGTTTGAGGTGCCAGCCTTCGTGCAACTTTTGCGAGGGCTGATGGACAAGGGGTTGAAGATCCGGTGCGTTGTCTCGGATGATTGTGCGGCGCTGGGACCGAAGTTGCGAGCTATGAACATCGAGTGGCAGAAGGATTGCCGCCACAAAATAAAAAACATTTGAAAGCACTTCCACAGTATGCTGCAACTGAAGGAAGCGAAGAAAGTGAGCAGCCCGCACGACTGTGTATCAGAGGCGCAGTTCATGCAGTTCACGAAGAAGCGGCTAAAGGAGGCATTGGAGCAGCGTTTTGGACCTGACGTCCTCACACCTGCTGAGGAGCGGCTGAAGAAATCGGACTTTGTCGCTGTCGTCATGCGAAAGATGTACCCCTACGGATCGAGGTTGAATCCTCGAGCATTGGAGACCGATCTAGATGGCTTGATAGAGTATCATGCGCATGAGGTTGGGATGTGGTTCCTCCGCGCTTGCCAGCTGTGCAGGGACGAGGGCGGAGACGCCGACAGTCTACACGGCGACATCATGTTGGTCGCCGATCATTGGGCTGGTGATCATTCAGGATGTGTGGATGGTAGGGAGGTTCTCTGCGAGAAGGCCGGTGGGCGTGCACGATTGCCTTTGTGTAGCCGCACGAACACGGTCTACGAGCTCGTTCTGCGTGTTCTCGATAAACAATGCAGCACTAACATCACGCCGTACTACGTCGAGTTTCGGCACACATCGGCGGTGGAGACTTTTCAGAGCACCATCATTATCTATGCGAAGAAGTCGGTGCATTTCGAAAAGTTTTTATGTGCACGTTTGTCGATCGCAGTGATTCGTTGGAACAGTCAATGCTGGCGCGACCCGGTCGGGTATGTTGCTTGCATTGCTGTGGACACTTCCATACGTGCGAGACCAGGCTTCCATCGACACTACGTTCACGAGGCGATCGACTGTTGGGAGGACAGATTGGCGGCGTCAGTGTTCGGTTCGGCTCATGTTTCAGACTGGGCTCGAGAGCTTCTACGGCATGAGGTTTGTCCTTATGGAGCCGGGCCATTGCCGCGTGATTTGTTCGTCAACGGTGGGGGCGACCCAGTGGAAGTCGTTGATGATGATGCCTCGGATTCCGACCATGAGGCGGTGGGAGAGAACCGTGTTTTCATCATCGGTCACGTGGAGGACGATGCGGTGCCTGCATGCGATGATTGGGTCCAGATATCGAGCTCCGAATCTGAGGATGACGATATAGAGTTGTTCAGCGTTTGACTGGTTGAATGGCTTTATCATTGACCTGACATCGGTGTGGTCATCCAAATTTCATTGTGCATGGCGTTGTTCACACACATGTCATGGTGTTTTGTTTGTTACGCTACATTATGTCCGTCTCTTTACTTGTATATACATCTCTATTTTTGGTCAGTCTGACTTCCAAGACTGATGGCGAGGCTGTATACTACCCCCTATGGTTACATTTGTAATTTTGTTCGACTGAGGGCTAATCCTGAGACGAACCTGTGAGGAAAATTCGTGACGACCATATCTGTAAATATGGGAAATACAGGCCCAACAGTATTTCGAATTTCCTATACGTACCCTTGCTGCGAATAGCAGGCCCGGACTACCCCCAAGACAGACAGGCCCTAATGGCCTAAGATGAGAGATGGTTCTATAGCCTATAGTCGGGTTCGGTAGAGGCCGAGAGGCCGAAACTGCTACGATGTTGGTCGGTTAGTTAGTCCGGTATAGGTGTAGGTTAGATTAATGTACTCTATTAGTAGAATGAGGGAAATCGATTGGGGAGCAARGGACTGGAACAAACTCTGTTATGATATTCGTTCGAGTTGGTTCATCATCAGCATCATATGAATTGTGATCTTGCTGAGGTTCTTTATTGTGATTGTTTGTTGGGAGTCTGTCGGAGAGTGAGAGTCATCTATCTATCTATCTATCTATCTATCTATCTATCTATCTATCTATCTATCTATCTATCTATCTATCTATCTATCTATCAATCTATCTATCTATTTATCTATCTATCGTGTCGTGAAGCATTTACCGCCGTGCACGTCGACGTGAGCGCGCGTTTTCAAGAGGATCACATTGTCGTAGTTCAAAACCTCGAATGATTGTGTCTGGCCATCGTTCCCGCATTGCCGTTTGTAACTCATCTGGCAATATCTGTCGGAAAACGCGGAACCCGCACAACCGAGAAAAAGCGACATATCCATTGTAACGATTCTGCTTTGGTTCGAGATTTGCACGTCCAATAAGCAGATTACTGCACTGTTGCAGGTGCTTCTCCAGCCCAGCAAAAGTAACAGCCTCTTCCAAAAGCGCTGCGGGTGCCGGCCACCGACTCCTAATCCTGGCGACTGTCAGCTCCTCGTTGCGGAAAGGATCTGTATCTGTCCCATTTCCAAACATGACTGCGGTGGCCCGCACGCCAGCCATGCGTCGTCGGCGGTCCATGTATGAGAATGGGTGAATATTGTTCTGACGCTTGTATGTGAATTTGTAGAAATCTACAAAACACAACATCACGGGCACCGTTGACCTTAGTACTGTACCTCCACATAACGAAAACGAAAAGAAATTTCACAACGCAAAGCAGGCGAATAAAAAAAAACTCAAAACATATAACAAACACATGGGAGATGACGATTGCATATGTATACACAAAATGTGCAATTTTTCAAACCATCATTTTGTCTCTCTCCATCAACGAAGAAATCCTCGCCATCGGAGACAAAATAGGGCGGTGACACGGCCAGCCGCCAGACGCCATCCCGAGCGACCGTCCCGTAGTGTGTGTATAGTATGCGATGCACAAGGGGGACGACGATATCATACATCAAATCACCGTCAATCACCGTCGACCGGTTTGAGAACAAAGGTGTTGAAGTACGTGGTCGGCTTAGACATTAGGACACGAACGTGTTTGATGGCATGGTTACGAATATAAGTCTCTGTAGTGAGCCTGACGACTCGTTCCTCCTCGAGGCTTACAACGAAATGACGATCCACCTTCTTGTCTCCATTGCGGTATCCCAATGCATCACCGACAGCATCTGTTACGGGAGTCATTGATTCGTAATAGTATACGGTGTCGCCGCCTGTCAGTTTTGTGGTGTGGTAACATCGGACAATCATTGGTGCGCAATGCATCGTCGCTTCTTTCGTATGGCGTTCAAAAAGTGCTGCAATTCACATGAAACCGACACCTTTATGAATCTAACGATGGAGCAACGAATCACGCAAACATAATGTTCTGCATGTACCGCACGGGGAGGGGGAACACACTTTATACATATATATGAAATGAGCGGGTAGTCGCGGTCTCGAACACTGTCGAATGTTAAAACCCTTTACGATTTTGTGAGTCAACCCACCTGTTTGGGACTAAGCATGAGACGACCGAGATGATGGTTCGTTGACACTTTAGTACTGTTGTCGGCAACCGTCCATAGGCAACACAGTGCGCATATCTCCGTGGAAAAAAGTACGGCGTTGCAGCGGCTTGTCGAGTTTTGAGAAATACCATGCGTTCGGTGCTAACCTTTCCGCATGGTCGACCTCAACGACTGACACGATGCACCTTAGCAAATGACCAATCATATCGAAGTCGAGGGGTACGCAGGCGTCGGGAACGACATCCGAAAGCTTTTTTGCGTGCATTACAACCTCATCAAGGTAATCCTGGTCGTCGTACCCCAACCCCGCCACGACCCTCAAAGCGAGGGTGTCATCGATGAACGCGTAATACACACGTGTTCTCGTGGCGACAACCCCTTCCCAGTGTTCAAAGTCTCTTTCGTTTTCAGTATCGCGCTCACACACCGTCTCTCTCATGACGATATCCTTTCCAGCCACAACCTCTTTCACAACAACAACTACGTCGGCCATGTTGTGTCGCAAGGTCGAATAAGTGAACCTGACAATTATGAACTCTCTCAATGGCTGGCCGACGACACTGTGAAAACTGACGGCAACACAATGCGTACGAAAAACGACGGACACAATGAGTCGACTGACACGACTGTAAAAAAAAATAAAAATTTATAATAATTACGAACAGTAGTACGTTGGTTGGTTAGTTGGGTGGGTGGGTGGTTGGGCGGTTGGGTTAGGTGGTTGGTTGGGTGGTTGAGCGGATGGATGGGTGGTTGTGTGGCTGGTTGCTTGGTTGGTTGAATGGTTACGTGGGCGGTTTTGTGGTTTCATGGGTTGGTTGGTTGGTTGGTTGGGTGGTTGGGTGGTTGGGTGGTTGGGTGGTTGGGTGGGTGGTTGGGTGGTTCGGTTGTTGGGTGGTTGGGTGGGTGGGTGGTTCGTTGTGTGGTTAGGTGGGTGGTTGGGTGCTTGGGTGGATTAGGAGGGTCGGTTGCTTGATTATGCGGTTGGGATGGGCGGGCTCCAAAACATGGGGTGGTTGTGTGGTCGATTCGGGACTTGCGGTTGGTTGGGCGGTTGGAGTGGATTGTAGGGTGGCTGTGGTGGTTGGTTGGGTGGTTGGGAGGGTCGTACATTTGGGTATTATGTTTGGGTGAGTG